ACCACGACTTCGAGCGCATCGGGCGGCTGCACTACAAGGGCGGGCTCAGCCTGCAGCGGGCCAAGGAGGGCTGGTTCGCGCTGGCCCAGTCCACCCTGTACACCTGCTTCGAGGACAGCGAGAAGGAGGAGGCCGTCCAGCTCAGGAAGCTGCAGGAGCTGTGTAAGGCTCTTTCCTTCCCGCCGGCCCCGGGGTCACGCCGTGCCCCTCCTGCCTGGCCCCCACCCAAATCCAGCAGCTCTGGGAGACCCCGGAGCGCTCCATCTGCATTGCTGTGCAGCCAGCTCTGGGGAGGACCCCCTGGCACCTCTCACCCCATGGGGCTCCCCTGCTTGCCCCTCTTGCCCAGCAGGGCTTTCCCGGCCCAGTTCCCATGGCACAGATGGGCACTGGGGCAGGGAGGCAAGGGACAGGTGCTGACGGGCCTCTGTTTTCCCATCCGCAGCCATCCAAGGGGACAACGAGGTGTTGGTGCTGGTGGAGAGGCGCAGGTAAGGCCTAGCTTGGTGGGGTGGGATTGGGGCAGGGACACCCCAGCCCATCGCCAGCCCAGCCTTGCTGCCCCCTCCCCCTGGGACCAGGCCCTACCCAAGCCCTGCAAAAGCAGCAGCAGCCCCGAGATGCTTCTGGTCTCCTCTGGGGCCCTGCAGACATAGTCCAGGCAGCATCACTGCAAGGAGGGGATGGCTTTCGGCAGGGGGAAGGGGACGATGTTTGGGTCTGGACTTGGATGCAACCAGGTGGGGCTGCAGGCCTGCGAATCATAGAGGTATTGTCTCAAACAACAGCAGGGCTGGAGGGGAGCTGCCGAGGTCACGTCTAGTCCAACCCCTGCTGGAGGCAGGATCAGCCCTGTCCAAACCCAGTGTCTGACCTCTGAGCAACACGGCACGGTCACCCCTGACACAGCAGTCAGCATCACGCCCAACCCTGGGGGTGACCGGGCAGCACCCTGACCCCCAGCCAGCGTCCACACCCAGGGAAGCCCCGATGCATCCGGCTTGGGATGCTGAAGCCCAGAGGCATCTACCCTGCTGGCTGCCCCCTCCTGAGCTACAGTGTCCCCCCATCCCCTCTCCCCGCAGGACGCTGTACATCCAGGGGGAGCGGAAACTGGACTTCCTGGGATGGGTCACCGCCATCCAGAAGGCAGCCGGGAGCTCAGGTGACACGCTGTCTGAGCAGCAGCTCACCGAGGCCGACGTGCCCCTCATCGTGGACCGGTGCATCGACTACATCACGCAGTACGGTACGTGTGGGCACGGGCTCTGCTCTCGTGTGCCAGCCGGCCGTGATTCGTACCAACCTGCATGCCCAGACCCCCAGGCCAAGGGGAGACAGCGTGGAAGAGCAGGGGCTAGTCAGTGGGGCAAACCAGGAAGATGGGATATTTAACATACTCATATATGGTTGGGAGAAGGGGGTGAGTAGCGAGGTGGCCAGATTTGCGGGCAACGCAAAATTATCCCAAGTGCCAAAGGCCAAGGCAAGCAGTTACAGGAGGATTTGGCATGACTGAGCGAACGGGCAACTCAACAGCAGATGAAATTCGGTGGAAATAAGTGGAAAGTGATGCACCGGGCAGAAATAATCCAGACTAGACCTACACTACAATGGGCTCCGCATGAACTGTTACCACATGCAGGAAAGGGATCTGGGAGTCGTTGTGGGCAGGTCTCTAAAAACATCAGCTCTGTGCTCAGCAGCTGTCAAAAAGGCAGACGACGTGTTGGGGATGATTAAGGAGGGAATTGTGAACAAGATGGAAAGTATCACGATGCCCCTTTATAAATCCACGGGGCATCCACGCCTTGAAAAATGCACCCATTTCTGGGCCCTGTGCCTCCAAAAGGAGATAGAAGAGCTAGAGATGGTGCAGAGAAGGGCAGGTTTATAACAAGTGCACCAAGGGTGCAGATGCAGGGGCTGGCTGGGGGTAGCCAAGTGGGTCGGGGTTGCGGGGGTAAGGAAGCCGTGGCAGCTGGGGGGTCTCTGCCGCGCTGACCCTGCCGTCCTCCCGGCCCAGGGCTGACGTCGGAGGGCATCTACCGCAAGAGCGGGCAGAACTCCAAGACGACGGGGCTGCTGGAGATGCTGCGGCGGGACGCGCGCAGCGTGCGGCTCAAGGAGGGCGAGCACCAGGTGGACGACGTCTCCAACACGCTCAAGCGCTTCTTCCGCGACCTGGGCGACGGGCTCTTCACCCGGGACGGCTGCCAGGGCTGGCTGAGGGCCACAGGTAGGTGTGCGCCGGATCCCTGCCTCTCTGGTCCCACCGTCCGGCGGAGACCTTGGCTCTGCTTTAGTGGGTAGCACTCAAGGGGCCTCTGCCACCTTGCTCTCCTGTGCCTCAGTTTCCCTGTCTGGGAAATGGCAGGGTAACACAGACTGGGTTGCGTGCAGCTAGAACGATGTACGAGCCCTCGTAAGAGCGCTGCCTCTGGGCCCTGGCTTCTCGGGTCTGGAGGGAAAGGGAGACGGAGTGAGTGCTCCCTTCCCTCCCCTGTGTGTTTCTATCTGCAGCGCCCTGTAGCCCAGACCTTCCCCAATCCAGGCCCGAGTCTGGCAGCCAGGGGTGGGTGGTTAGGAGTGGAGGGCTGGGGAAGAAGGGGCTTGGGCAATGGAAGAAGGGAGTGGGGAAGTGGATGGAGTCTGGCAAGGTCCAGTTGAGCCTGGCGGTGGGTGCTAGGTGCCAAGCCACCCCTTCTCATGCTGTGCTCCCTCTGCCAGCCCTCGAGAGGGAGGAGGAGCGGATCAGCGAGTACCGCCGGCTCCTGAATGGGCTCCCCACTGTGAACAGAGCCACCGTGAAGGCCCTCATCAACCACTTGTACCGGTAAGGACAGCCTGGCACGGCCTCTGGGCAGGGGCTTTTGCAGGGTGCAGGGCAGCCTGGGCCTGGGTGGGTGGTGGTGCCCTGGGAGTCTCAGCAGAATCATCCCACTGCTACCACCATCCCCCGAGGAGGTAGGCCAGGCCATCCTGAGCAGGACCAAGCCCCTGCTGGCGTCATGCGTGGGGATGGGCTCAGCAGGGCTCAGACACTGGCTCTCCGCAGGGTGCAGTGCTTCTCCGACGAGAACCAGATGACCACGCACAACCTGGCCATCGTCTTCGGGCCCACACTCTTCCAGACAGATGGGCAGGACTACAAAGCGGGTCGCGTGGTAGAGGACCTCATCAGCCACTATGTGGTCATCTTCAGCGTATGTACAACACTGCTGACCTCCAGGAGGGGGATGTCCAGAGTGTGGGACTGCCGGGGGGATGCCTGGGGCGTGGGACTGTCTTGGAGACGTGCACCCCACTGAAACCCTGCCCAGGGGTGAGGGGGGAGCTGGTGGGGAGCAGCCGTGGTGCATATTTGGGGCACCTGGTGCTTGCTCAGGGATGGGGCAAGCAGGTGGAGGGGCTGCTGTACCTGGTCTGTGGAGGGCTTGACCTCTCTGGGCTCCTCTCTCATCGGCAGGTGAATGAGCAAGAGATGAGGAGGCAGCAAGACGAGATCACAGCCATCTTCAAGATGCGGGTTGCGGGCTCCTCCAGCGGCACCCAGGTAGGGGCACATTGGCGGTCTCCGATCGGAGGCTTCAGGTGGGAGATGGGCCTCCGGTGCCCAGCCAGCTGCCCTCGGTCTCCTCCTCCTGGGGGTCTCTGTAGAAAGCCCTCCAGTTCCAGCCCAGACATTTCACAGCGCTGTGTGTGCCAGCGCTGCCCACCTACTGCCTGGGGTACGACCCCCTCCTAGAAGTGATGGAGCCGGCTAGCCCAGTCCTCTCCTGACCCTGGAGGAAAGCGCTTTCTCAGCCTTTCCCTCCCCACAAATGGCACAGGGGCCTGCCCCTGTCATAGCAGCTTTTTGACTGCAGAGACCCTTCAGCAGCAGCGTGTCTGTCCCCTCCAGATCCCAGGGTAATTGAGGTCGGTGGGTACCAGATGCACCGGGGTGAATGCATGGCGTGTCCATGCCCAGAGATGGGGCATGGGGTTGGAGGGGAGATTTGCCCTGTGAGTCAGAACCGCTTCGGACCCTCCCTTGCAGCATGCCGGGGACTTCATCTGCACCATCTACCTGGAGGAGAAGAAGACGGAGGCAGAGCAGCATGTCAAGGTGAGGAGCTGGAGGCGGGTAGGGCCCTCAACGTGTGGCTTTTGGAGCCTGCAGGGCCCTGAGGAAGGAGACCTGTGCTGCTCGGGCACACAGCACGGTACAGGGGAGGCCATGGCTAGACACTGAGGGAAGTGGGGGGACTCTCCATCACTGGAGGGGTTCAAGGAGGGGTTGCACAGCCCCTGGTGGGGGATGATCTAGGATTTGACAAGGCCACCGTGCTGCCGATCCAGGGGCTGGGGTGTAGCTGCACGGTAGGGGCGGCATCTGGGGCGCGTCTTCTCCAGACAACTGGAGGTGGTTGAGTGCTTACTGCAGCGGGCCTGGGCAGGAAGGCATCGCCTGGGGATGGACGTGACGGAGCCTTCCCCCCGCACAGGTCCCGGCCTCTATGACGGCGGAGGAGCTGACTTTCGAGATCCTGGACCGGCGGAAGATTGTCACGAAGGAGAAGGATTACTGGAGCTGCTTTGAGGTCAACGAGCGGGAGGAGACAGGTCAGTGGCCAGGCTGGCACCGCTGGGGGGTGATTCCTACAGCCAGGAGCACAAAGGGATGGAGAGCCCCGGAGACGCACACAGCCACGGACCATCCCACAGGGCCTCTGCCTGTCTTCCCGCTTCTAAATACCCTTGCAGGCTTGGCTCCAGGGTCCCTTGGGATCCCACGTTCAAGGCCCCTGGCATCAGCAGTCGTGTTTGATGGACTGGGTCGTCCCCTCTGTCCCATCCCAGCCAGACTCTCAGACTGGCTTCCAGGTCCAGCAGCCAGGCCCTGCTACCTGTGATTGCTCAGGGCACTTGCAAAATGCTCCTGCCGGGGCTCCGTGACAGGACCCTTCTCATTGCCCCCGCACAACTCTGTATCTTGCCACCCATTGATCCCAGCCCTTTCCAGGTCCCCCAGGGCTCATCTAGTCCCATCTCCCTCCCTGACTACAGCTGCACACACGCGGGTGCTTTGCACATGTTGGAAGCACATGGGCTTCCTCTGCTACAGTATCTGCCTCTATCCCCCCACTTCCCATGGGCTTCCCTGGCGCCGTGGCACTCAGCCCTGCCAGCACGTGGGGGCCCTCGTTAGGCAAGAGAACAATTAATCCCGCATGGAAACAGCTTCTGAACTGATAGCACACTCCCATTCCAGCTGCGTTACGCTGCCCACTGCTTTCCCATCGTTATAACAGTGTCTTTTCCTAGTCTATACCCTTTTCTTTTTGGTATGGCCTATTAGACCAGTTTCCAGTTTGGCTTGTCCAGTATCTGGATGAGAGGCCAGTGCAATGCAAGTATCATGACGCCCCTTTATAAGTCCCTGGTGCATCCGCACCTTGAATGCTGCACCCAGGTCTGGTCCCTGCACCTCCAAAAAGAGATAGAATAGCTAGAGGAGATGCAGAGAAGGGCAGCGAGGATGATGGGTGCTGTGAAGGGGCTGTCACAGGAGAGACTGAAGAGGCCAGTGTAGAAAAGAGATGCTTGAGGGGGGACAGGAGAAGGGTTTGCACAACACTAAATGGCAAAGAGAAAGTCAGTAGGGATTTATGAGTGGCTCTCTCTCACCAGGCAAGAACTGGGGGTCACCACATGGAGCAACTAGGTAGTGAGCTTTAACACCCACAAAAGGAAGTTGTGTTTCACCAAAGCTGTTATGAAAGGGTGGAGCGCACTGCCACTGGATGTGGGGGAAGCTGAGAGTTAGCCCCATTCACCAAGAAACTGGACGCAGGCTTGGAGGAAAGGGGCATCCGTTGCTATTGAGCAGGGGGTGAGGGGCACGGCCTCTGCAACAGAACAAGCTGGACCCTAAATGCTGGAGGCTGCAGGGGGGAGAGGAGCAGGGGAGAAAACCCTGGTGGGACCCCGTTCACTCTCCCTTCTGGGGGTTCAAGTCTCCCTGGGGGTCCCTGGCTGGAGCAGACACATCCTCCCCCGTGGTCTTGCCAGATTGCAACCTGAATAATCACATTCTGCCCTCCGCCACCATCCCGTCCCAGCCGGAGAGGGCTCTGTTCACTGCCTCCCTCAGCTGTCAGCTAGCGTTATATGCTGGCACCCAGCCACCCCCATTCCCCCCCAGAGCTGGCTGCATTCTGGTGGAGGGTGGAGAGCTGGTCTGGGGCAGAGCAGAGCACGTGTGAGGTCCAGCGGTCAGGGGGCAGGCAGGGCTCGTTCCTTCCCCCCGTCCATCCTCTGCAGCCTGGGTTTGCCCAGCCATTGCCTGGTCCTGGGTGGGCCAAGCCGGCTGGGGATGCACTCATGGGCCTGTTCCTCCCACCCTGTGCAGAGCGCCCATTGCACTACTCGGAGAAAGTCCTGCCCATCCTGCAGTGCCTGGGGACGGACAGCTACCTGGTGGTGAAGAGGCAGGTCTCCATGGAGAGCATGCTCCTCTACTTGGGTAAGGGGGTGCGTGGGTAGGGTGGAGAGGGAAGGGGGCAAGGATTGGAGAGGCAACCCCCAGCCCCCGGGAGGGAGCCTGCTCAGCCCCGCACAGAGCCACAGGCCTCCTTGCAAACGTCCCTCCCTGTGATAGCCTCCAGCTGGGCAGACCCGGCCTGGCTCCTGGCAAGCTGGCTCTGGTCCATATGCCAGGAGTGCCAGGGATAATTGATTTCCTGCTTTCAGTGGCTCTGGGAAAGAGACCCAGACCTCGAGCAGCTTCTCTGCATGCTCTGGGCCAAAGGGATTTCCTTGATGAATAAACGTCTGTCCGGGAAGCAAAGCAGCCCTAGCTGGACGTTGTCATGGGGCCATGGCAGCGTGGAGCATCAGCAGGCGGTGCTCTCCAGGGCGGTGCTGGGGGCACACCGCAATGCCCAGGATAGCATGGCAGTGCCATGCACAGGCTAGGGGAGGTGAGAACCAGAGGCAGGGGTATCAGGGCTTTCCCAGCCGCCTCTATCACTCCCTCCTACCCTGCAGCCCTTCTGTGAGTCCACCGGGCCGGTCACCCCGTGTGCCCTCCCGCTTGGGCACTGGGGACGGATCTGGCAGCTCCCAGCCTGCATGGGGAAGGCGGGTGGGACAGAGCCCTGCAGTCCCCACCTTGCTGACACCTCCCAGCACAAGGAGCCAGCAAAGAATTGAATGGCTTTGCTGAAAACCCCAGAGAGAGTGTGTGCGGGCATGTGTGCATGTGTGTGTGCGTGCATGTGTGTGCATTGTATGTGGTGTGTGTTGTGTACATATGTGTGTGTGGGGGTGTGTGGATGTGTACATGCAAAGTGGGTGTGTGCATGTCGGGGGTGTGGTGGGTACGTGTGTGGTATGTGTGCATGCACGTGGTGTGTGAGATGCGGGGGGGGTGCATGGTGTGCATGTGGGTGTGTGTGTGCTTGTGCATGTGGTGTGTGCACGCATGCGTGTGAGGTGTGTGCGCGTGAGTGGTGTGTGCGTGCATGGTGTGTGTGTGGATGTGCATGCACACATGCCTGTGTTGTGTATGCATGTATGTGTGTGCATGTGCTGCACCACTCACACGGGCAGCAGGTCTGTCTGGCTGCACCCGGCACTGCGGGAGCTCAGCAGTCGCGGGCTTGGCTGGTTTGTGCCTGGGAGATGGAGAGGGCAAGAGCCCTCAGCAACGTGCTCAGCGCCCTGTTGCCCCGCAGCCAGCCGCGTGGGCGACAGCAAGCACGGCATGATGAAGTTCAGGGAGGAGCGCAACCTGCTGGGGCTGGGGCTCAGCACCGGCTTTCACGACCGCTACTTCATCCTCAACCACAGCTGCCTGCGGCTCTACAAGGAAGTGCGGGTGAGTCTGGCTCTCCCCCATGCCCTGGCGCAGCACCCGCTCCTTTCCCGCCTCCGCTGCCCTCCTATTGCTAACGCTGCCTCTACTTTCCAGCAGCTGAATGGGGGGTGGTGGTGGGGATGTGTCCCTGAAGGATGCTCGTGCGCTGCTGCCCTCTTCTGGACCGTATTGTGGTCCTTTTGGCTGTGTGTCATGGGCCCCGTAGTGCCAGCAGCAGGTGGGGAGTCTCCTTTGGGTCCTGGGTGGAGAAAAGGGGGCCTCTGCTGTTGGATCTGTTCTGCCTCACTGGCATCTGATCTGTGCCTGGTCCTGTGAGTCAGGGAGAAGTCAAGCTGCAAAGGACCTCCAGGATTTGAACTCAGGCCTCCGGGTACCCGGCCCCTCGCTCAGCCCTTTGCTGCTGGTGCTGCAGTTTGTTCGGGCCCCTCCATGCCCGGCAGCCCGGATCTCAGGGCCCCACTGTCCACTTTCATAGCCCCTGTCGCCTCCATCCCTGCAGGCTCTCCTTGCCCCCTATCCCTCCGTGGCTTGTCTTCTCTGTCTGGTTTAACCCCGCTCTTTTATTGAACAGAGCCTGAAGCAGCGGATCCTCATGGTGGAAGACGTAAGTAGGGGCGTGTGTGCTGGGCTGCATCTGCCCTGCTGCCATATAAGCCAGCCCTGGATCAGACCCGGCGCCCATTCAGTCCTTCGTGCCGGGGGCACGCGGGCTCTTTGTGTCGCTTGTTCCAAGGGGAACGGATTGGCAGAGCCGCAAGCGGCTAAAATCATGGAGCAGAGTTGTCTGGCAATGGCATGGCACAGACCGCCACCGCCTTTCTGGTGTTGTGGCCTGTTCCTGTGGAAGATCACGGGGTGTTTCCTGGGTATGATCTGGCCTCCAACGAGCGTTGGAGTGGGCTCTTGTAAGCGCCGGAGTTTGCTGTGTATGGGCACGTGTGTGTATCACAGAGCGAGCTTTTCCCAGGCTCCCTACCCTGTCCCCGGATGCTGCCATGAATCCTGGACTCATAGAAAACAAGGGTTGGAAGGGACCTCGGGAGGTCACATCTAGTGCAACCCCCTGCTCCAAGCAGGACCAGCCCCAGCTACATCATCCCAACCAGGGCTTTGTCTAGACTGGGCTTAAAAACTCCCAAGGATGGAGAGTCCAGCACTTCTCTGGGTAACTTGTTCCAGTGCTTCACCAGCCTCCGAGTGAGAAAGTTTTTCCTAATATCCAACCTCAATTTCCCTTGCTGCAGCCTGAGCCCATTGCTCCTTGTCCCGTCATCTGCCCCCACTGAGAACAGTCCAGCTCCATCCTCTTTGCACCCCCCTGCAGGGAGCTGAAGGCTGCTATTCAATCCCCCTTGGTCTTCTCTTCTGCAGACTACATCAGCCCAGTTTCTAGTCACGTGCCTGAGCCCCCTAACCATTTTCCTTTTCCTCCGCTGGACATGCATCTGGCCTGTGTTGCCAGGCAAAGGTGGTGACACCAGCAGCATCCAGGGACAGAGGAAGGCACTGGGCAATGGAAATGCTCCCAGAGCAAAGTGCACAGCCCCTGCTCCCTGCACCTCACAGCTCCCTGCTGGGATGCAGCCAGGTCCCACACATATAGGGTTAGAGCCGAGGCCGCCATCCGACATGCAACCAGGCATCGCCCGAGAGCATGAGCTGGCCTGACCCTGTTGCAGATGTGTCGCTATCTCAATGCCCCATCTGCCTTTGCCGGGCTTCTGGATGTTCCCCTCCAAGTAACATCAAGGGGGTGACAGTGGGACCTGTTCCCACGATACTTTGAGGTTTGCAAATGCCTCCTAAACCCTCATCCCCCCACAACCACTCTCAGGGAAGTAGTGATGCTTTCTGGGCTGGGAAGGGGTGCACAGAGCGCTGGGTCAGATTGCACTGCGGGGCTGTGGGAGCAAACCACAGCCCCAAAAGGAGTGGGAATGCAAGAGAGCGAGGCCTGGTTTGTGGCTGGTGCTGAGCAGCATTGGAGGAGCATGGCATGCTTGGAGTTGGAGGATAAAAGGGGTGAGAAGGGACCTCGTGGGCCTGGCTCAGCCTGATGCCACCCATCCCTGGGGAGCTTGTGCCACTGCCCTGTGACCCCAAATGAGCCCTGTTCTCCTGCTGCTCTACTTGAGGGTCCGCTCATTGTCTCAGGCCCTGTGGGGGCTGCAGGGTGGGCTCCGACCCCTCTGTATCACAGCCACGCATAGCTACGCTCCATCAAGCAGCAGCTTTGCCCTGAGATGTCCTCTCTAGGCGTGGGGCCCTAAAGCATTGAAGTGGCCTCACTGGGACCCCGATGGCTGACTGTTGGGGGCTGCATTCATGGGTGCTGCTTGCTTGGATCTGACGCAGACCCCGGTGTGAGGCAGAGGGGCAGGAGCAGGGGTGACACAGGCCGGTGGCACAGCGCGGATCCCTCTCCCATGCATCTTGGCCACGGGGCACCTGCAGCTCTGGTGAGGGGTCTGGTGTTTCTGTTGGAGCCGTGGCAGATGTGGATCCGGCCCGGTTGGCATGGGGAGGGATCACTCCCTTAGCAGCTGGCACCAGGACCAGCTGGTAGCGGGAGGCTGATGGCACCAGATGGTCCTTGCTGAGTGAAGGGGTCTTGCAATGGGCTGCTCACCCGTGGAGTTTGCCCTTCCCTCCATCGCTCTGTCTCTAGTGCAGCAGGGTCTTTGGGGCTGCCCTGGGCACTGGGGTGAGGGAGGCAGCAGGAGCAGAGATGCCTGCCCTGCATGGCCACAGAACAAGCTATTTCTCCCCTCGCTGGCTTAGGGAGAGTTCCCTGCAGCCACGCCGCACTGCTGCTGGTTTGATACTGGCATGAGCCACATCAAGGGCAGCGCACACATCCCCTGGGTCTCTGCAACACTTATCTCAGCCTTTTTGCATGGGTCTCCGTACCAGCCCCGAGTCCCAAGTGCAGGGTGCGTGTGCAGGGCAGGACTGCGAGGGCGGTGGCATGGGGGGCCATGTTAGCAAGACCCGTCTGTGACCTGCTGGCACCGCCAAGGGCAAAGCCTGGCTCAGGATGGTACAGAAGAGGCCGTCCCCTGCTTCATGCACGTGCACACCACAGAGGGGGAGTCGCGACTGATTGGGGATCTCAGACTCTTCCTCTGCATGGCAGGACCCCTTCCTCTCCTTGCATGGCTTTGACTGCAGGCAGAGCCTTGCTGGCTGATGCCCTCCTCTTTGCGAGCGGAGGGGTCTTTGCAGAGCTGGACGACGCATCCGGCTTCTGAGCACCGGAGCAGGGTGCGAGGGCGAATCCTGCCTGGTTTCTCATCCCTCTTTCTCTCCTCTGTCCAGAGCCACAGGCCGGAGAAGGAGTGGCCGGTGAGGAACCTCAGAGTCTACCTGGGAATCAAGAAGAAGCTTCGCCCGCCTACCTGGTGAGCGGGGTCTGTCGTGGTGTCAAATCATAGAGGAGTCAGGCTGGAAGGGACCTCCATAGGGCCACGTCTGGTCCTGCTCAGGCAGCATCCGCCCTATCCAAACCAGCCCAGACAAACCCATTGCCCAATCTCTGAGCAAAACCAGTCTCCCTGGCACAGCACCGGGCATGGAAAGCAGGGGGGCTGCAGCAGCCAATGTCCTGTTGCTGCAAAGGTTGTTAATAGATGCTCGAGAGATCCCAGGCAGAGGCCGTTCCCCCGCCGCCGAGCAAGGCAAAACCCCGCAGTCTGTACCAGTTTGACCAGGGGAGAAATTCCTTCCTGGCCCCAAATGCAGTGTCGGTCTGACCCTGAGCGGAGGGACAAGACCCTCTAGCCAGGACCCTCTAGGGTTGGTCCCAGCAGGAGCATTGGCACAGCCCAGTCCCCATCCCCAGCTGGGCTGCAGCCAGCACCGTCGTGGCTGCCCCTCCCTGCCCACAGGATACCACTCAGGCACCACGGGCCAGTACAGCACCCCCTCTCCTAGGTGCATGACCCAGGGGACATGTTTGGGACACACGGTCCTGGCTGGGGGAGGGCAGGTGTCCTGGGTGCTGGAGAGGGAAGAGGGAGCTTGGTGCTTCAGGTGTCATGCCAGTCTCTGCCAGCGGTGCTCCCTGCAGCCTTGGGCACCTCCCTTCCCCTCCTAGTTTCCTTTGAGCTCACTGCCCAGCTCCTGATGGAGGTGCTAATTCCTGCGCTCTCAAAGCCCTTCAAAGCTGCATTAAAGCTGTGCTTAACCCTTCAGTGGCTGCTGCCTCCCTGCAGGGCAAAGCCAGCCCAGTTCAGTGTTACTCCCCGGGGGTGGACCTGGGCTGCAAGCTCTCTGCTCCCATCCCCACCGCCCGGCTCTGCCGAGAGGGGCTGTTTTCTGGGAGCCACCCCCCTACCAACAGCACCCCGACAGGGCCAAGAGCTCTCAGCTGGTGCCTTGCTGCAGGCAGACTTCTGTGGTAGGGACTGGTGTAGATCAGGGAGACCCCTCAGTACTAGACCTATCCCTTTGGGGTCAAGGACATTAGCCTGGCTGGCCGCTTTCATCCCCTGCTGCTCTGTGCCGTGCCTTGGCTAGGAACTGATGAGTGCTGGCCGGGAGCACGGTGCTGGTAGCCCATCGGGGCTGCCAACCACAAGCAGCACTGGGTCTTTGTGCCATCACTTCTGGCCGCCAGATGTCAGAGTAGCCTAAGGAAACCATGGAGCCGGCTGCGGCAAGGGACCAGGACCCCGGACACAGCAGTCGGGGGAGCTCGGGTTGGTCTGGGGTGCATGAGAAAGAAGCCAAGATAGGTGCGGGGGGGATGGTCTTTGTGCCCTGCCAGCCCAGCAGGACCTGGGTAACCCCCAGAGAGGTTTGCTGCCGGGGCAGCATCTGGGAGCTGGCTCGGCTGGCCCGGCTCTTCCCCACCCCAGAGGCAGCCGCATTTCACGGCCAGGTTTGTGCCCCACCCAGATGCGAGCAAGCATCTGTGCACGTATCTGGGAACCCTCCAGCATCTTGCAACTCCAGGATCTCTTGGCAAAGGGCTGACATGTCCACAGCCCCCCAAGCAGCCAAGAGCTTGGAGGGGAGGCCGTGAAATCCCTTGGTGCTCGCCCCGGTGAGGCAGCGAGGTTTGCATACCGGCTTTGCTGCACTGGTGAACAGATTAGTCCACCGTGCTGGGAGCAAGGGCTGGGCATTCACCACCCTGCGCTCTTCTGTCTCCTTCCAGCTGGGGCCTCACGGTGTTTTACGAGAACGAGAAGCACGAGAAGCAGCAGTGGTAAGACGCTGGCCCTCCCCGTCTCCCCCGTTCCCTGCGCGGAGTGAGAGTGGCTTGCTTCTCCGGCCACGCCATGCACTATAATGACTTGGGACCCCCTGCATCAGTGTCAGACCTTCCTGGCAGTGCACAGACCCCATCACAGGAGGATCTTCCAGACCTGTTAGCAGTACGAGGTCTATGACACCAGAGGCAGTATTTGGCCCTGTGAGCCAGGCTCGCTGAAAGGGGCCCCGATCCCTTTCGTGACCCGTTCATCTCCAGAATCCCTCCCCCGGCCCCTGCAGACGGACTGTCCAGGGCTGCGTGTGTCTCCAGCAGCTGATCGCTGATGGAAAGTCAGCGACGTGTCCCTCCGTGCACTGCCTTGACCGTCGTGACACCCGTGCATGCCCCCAGCCAGAGCCCCCGCAGCTTCCTAGTGCCATGCTCAGCCATGGCCTGATGCTGAGTGGTGCTGGGGGCCTGGTCCTGAATGCCTCGGCCGATGCTTTTCAAGCAGGCGCGCTGCCCGCGTGCTGCTGCGCAGCCCGGGGCCAGGATCTGCCCTCCAGGAGCTGAGCTCCCGACTACAGAGGTGGAAGGAAATTGGGAGTGACAGCCGCCTGCCGGGGAAGGGGTCACGGAGGAGTGCTCCTGGGGCAGGCAGCGCCATGCCTCCGCCCTCATGAGTCCCCCCCGCCATGGCATGGCAGGAGGCGGGCAGCTGGGCCTGGTGTCCAGCTGCTGCAGCTGATGGGTGCAGGGGGGACAAGGGCGGGGGCTGCTGTGCTGGGGAAGGGGCATGGGACCGGGCCTGACCCCAGCCCTGACCACCCCCGTGTCCCCCCTGCAGGTACCTGTGCTGCGACACCCAAATGGAGATGCGGGAGTGGTTTGCCACCTTCCTCTTCGTGAAGGTATCGTGGGGCCGGGCCCCTCCAGGGCAGGGGGAAGGGATGGCGGGGGGACAGAGAGGGGACCTGCCTCCTTGCTTGGAGTCAGACACAGACCCCTGCGAAGCAGGGGGGTCGGACCCCAGCCCTAGATGGATCGACAAGCTAAGCTCAAGGGACCCTGCTCTGGACTGAGCCAGGCAGCACTTGTCGTTCAGCTCCCACGGCTCGTCCGGCACCCGGTTGTCTGTCCTAGGAGGCCTCGACTCCCTGCTCCGAGCTGGCTGTGCTCAGCAGCAGCTGCAGGCCTTCGAAGCCTTGCATGACACGAGTTGTCAGGACTCTCCAAACCGTCTCAGGGGGGCTCTTACTGTGGCCCCATGGCTGTATAGGCCCCTCTCCCCACCCTCATCGTGAGCCTTCCCCATCTCCGCAGAACGGCGGGAACGTGTGGCCGTCAGAGCCCTCCAGGGCACGAGCATCGCGGGTGCCGCCGGACTCCAGGTTGGGTAACATCTCGCTCATCCCGCTACGGGGCAATGAGAATGAGATGAGGAACAGTGTGGCTGCTTTCGCTACTGATCCACTAACCGTGAGTGACGGCCGATTACCTGGGGGGGAAGCCCTGGCGCGGGGTACGGCATCCCATCCGCAGCTGCATCACATCTGCTCCGGCACGGGGGCGATGCCTTGAGAGCCCGGTGCCTCGCCGGAGCCCTCTCTGGGGGCCAGGATCAGTGAGGCTGCCACAAATGAAGCCCCTTGCCCTATCCGGTGGCCGGGGCAGGGTTAGGCGGGTTCTCCAGTTCGGTGCCCGTGGCTGCTGGACGTGGGGTGGAGGGACAGTCACCCTGGGCACGGAGGCCCTTGCAGGCGTGATGCAGCCCCGGAGGATGCCGGGATGATTCCCGGTTCCAAATCGGCCTCTCTCCCGTCCCTGCGTCTTGCCTCAGCAGCAGGGCCGGGGAGACGTGCCCGATGCCCATGCGGCATGAGCAACGAGGACCCCGGAGGCCCAGATCCTGGCCATTCATTGCGGGATGTGGATGGCCGGATGCCAGGGTCTTGTTTGCTGTTATAAACCCAGGGGGCACCTCTCACCCTGGAGGCAGGGCCGAGGGCACCGGCAAACGGGGAGCACCAAGGACTGGCAGCTCTGCCTGGCCAGCCCAGGAGAATTTGGATGGGCCAAGGGCCCCGGCTCTGCTCTCCAGGCCCCCTCGGGTTTATACCTGCTGCATCGCTGGGGCAGCTCTGCCCAAGGGGGCATCGGGCTTCCCGCTTGGGGGTAGGCTGCTTGTGTGGCTGCTTTCCCCTCCTGCTCTTGCCCAGGCTGAGAGCAGGGCTGAGGGTGCCTGGTTCAGGCAGTGGGGAGGGGGGGCAGCCCCGCGGGTCTCCGTGCAGAGCCAGGATGGGGGAGCCTGGGATCTCTGTCTGCCACCCCCGGGAGGGAGTTTCCCCTCCTGGCTTGTCCCGTAACCCCGAGCTGCTATATCCCCTCCACAAGGGGACGCCGCCGGAGTTAACCCCTTCCTCCCCTGGCACCCTCCTGCTGCGCAGTGCACCCTGGGGGGAGGATGACTAACCCGCCCCTGCTGGCTTTCTCTCTCCAGCTCCTTCGGGACGTGTGAGCTGGACGCCTGACACTCCAGGTGAGCGGGACGGCTCGGTCTCCTCAGCCCAGCCACGTCCCCGGGGCTGCCCCAGCACAGGGCTGCCATCCCGGGAATGTGGGGCAGCTCAGCGGACCTGTTATGCCCAGAGATGTGGCTCCCAGTGCAGCCCAGCGGGGCTGTGCATGGGGTCGCTGGCCCCAGCAGCAGTGAGAAACCCTTGGACGGCTGCTGTCAGGGCTCAAGGGTGTGAGCAAAGGGACCCATGGGGCCTGGCTGCCCTGGGGAAGAGGGGAAGAAAGCTGCCCTGTGCTCCCAGGGCAAGGCCAGCTCAGGGTCCAGGGCTCCCAGCCCCCTGGCAGTGAATGTCCTGGGCCCATGTCCGTGGCCACGGCTGTGTCTCCCTCCTCTGGACCCTGGGTGAGCCCGCACAGATGGGGTAGGGGGTCGGGCAGTGGTCTCTGTCCTGGCACTCAGGCTGGTCTGTCTCCCTCTTTGTCCCCAGGTTCGTTTCCAGTGAGGGAGCCGGCAGAGAGCTCAGGCACTCGCAGAGCCCAGCGCAGGGTCCACACTGGCACTGGGGGGCTCTCAGGACATGCCCACCGGCTCCATCTCCTTCCTTCCACCCCTTCTCAAGGTGCCGCCACCTGCCGCGATGAGCAGAGCCCTTTGGAGGGAAAACACCGGGGAACAGACCCCGGAGCCGTCAGCGCCTCCCTGACCCAGACCCAGGGTCCCCCAGCGCCAGCTGCCGCTTGCTTCCTCCTGTGCCCTAGACCAACACTAGATGGGCATGGGCTGGCACGGCGCCGCTGGCCCCCATGGGGCTCAGGGCACCTCTGGGTCTGCAGGAGGTTTTTGCTGCCTCGATCCTAAATTCCCCCCTCGGTTTCAATGGAGAGGCCCTGGGGATGCTACGGACAGCCTGGGGGAGCCCTGCCCATGGGCCTTGCCAGTGTGCCAGGGGCCAGTGGAAGCATTAAGGACGTTTTCGGGGCCGAGCTGTTGGTCACTACTTCAGAGGAGAAGCCACCGAAGGATGAGGCCGAGGCCTCCCATGGACACAGTGGCCTTGTTGGTGCTTGGTGCCCACTTCTCTCCATCTCCTGCTCTCTTTGGGCAAGCATTGCAAGTGGGGCACCGAGGCCATCGGCTCACACCCAGCTGGGGGGAGCTGCGGTAGCAGCACCCCTCTGAAGAGACTGTGGAGGGGATGCTGGCTTGAGCTGGGCATGGGGGGCTCAGCCCTGGGTTTCCAGGGTGTCCAGCCTCCCCCCCCGACTCTCCCTGGTGCCGGGGAACTGCAAACTGTGGGTGGAGTGGCTGAGAGCGGGGGACGGGGCAGGCCCCTGCCCAGCAGTACCTCTTGTGGGTCATATTAAATATGTTGGGAAGCTGGTGTGCTGGTGTCCCCATGAGTCTGAAGCCACGGGGAGCGGGGTGTGCACGAAGGGGCATCCCCTTCCTCCTCAGCATCCCCACCAGAGGAGTTCAGTGCGGAAAATGCCCTGGAAGGAGCCTTATACCTGTAGCAGCCAGCACTGAGAGGCCAGGAAATGCTGGAGTCAAGCTTGCCTGGCTAACCTTAACTCTGCCCACGCAATTGCACTGCATTACACTGCGGTACCATATTGTCTGGACTACCATGCCCCCAAATAAGACACATGCCTTGTTTCTGGGAAGGCAGAACGAAGCAGCAATGGTTTCCCCTGTGTTATGGCAGCTGCAAATGACCTGCAGGGGGGTGCAAAGAGGATGGAGCTGGACTGGTCTCAGTGGGGGCAGATGACAGGACAAGGAGCAATGGGCTCAGGCTGCAGCAAGGGAAGTTGAGGTTGGATATTAGGAAAAACTTTCTCCCTAGGAGGGTGGTGAAGCACTGGAGCAGGTCACCTAGAGAGACAGTGGAGTCTTCATCCTTGGAGGTTTTGAGCCCTGGCTGGGATGCTGTAGTTGGGGCTGGCCCTGCTTGGAGCAGGGGGTTGCACTAGATGTGACCTCCTGAGGTTTCTGTCAACCCTCATTCTCTATGGTTTTGTGGCCTGATAGAGCAGAAGCAGAGCTGGATTTTCATTTCACTCCCCCTCCCTGTCTTGTTCAAGCAAAAACCGACCGTGAAAACCCTTTCTCAGCTGAACTGTCAGCAGCTCTTGGCTGTTGTGCCAAAAGCTGAAACTGCAGCTGCTGCTGAATACTGGGCTCCATGGGCCGATCTAGGATTTTGTAAAGGGCTATCAGCGGTCTGCGGGGCTGTGACATAGGAGAAGAGAAACTGGGAGCAGCTACTGTGCAAAGTTTTCAGCATAATTGCTGAAGAAAGGATAGCTCCATTAGGGGAACATCAAGACCATTAAAAAGGATAGTGGATCATTAACACTCGTGAAGTGGATAACAGTTAGGAACCGAGCAGATGCTAATGAGCCAGGAGCTCAGTTGACTCCATCAGGGCTGCCTGAATAGAAATGCCACTGCTGCTATTCTGGGCAGAAAATCAGCTTCCGTGATTAGGACACCCCAATTTTGGATGGTTAAGGTGTGTAGTATGCAAGTCCAGTCTCTCCAGTTCTTTTCATATATCATATCATATATCATATCATCCATTTTCTTGCATGCCACACTCTTTAGCCATCCAAAGTTGGGGCGTCACAGAAGCTGATTTTCTGCCCAGAATAGCAGCAGTGGCATTTCTATTCAGGCAGCCCTGATGGAGTCAACTGAGCTCCTGGCTCATTAGCATCTGCCTGGTTGCTGCTAATTGTTCACATAGCCCTCGTGAAAACCTTGGGCTGGCCGGGGCCTCAAGTATGGGCCCCTTCCATCCTCGGGGGCTGGGGTGAGACAGAAACCGGCCCATGAAGGGGCCAGAAGACCCACCCCTGGGGCCCGCGGGTGCCAGCATCTGTGATTTTTAGCCAATCTCATCCAGCTACCTACTCCTACTTTCAACCAATCCCGTTCTGCTACCTTGTGATCTGGTTTTGGGCCAATCCCCTGCAATCATGTGTTGGCTGCGGAGGGTATATAAAGCCTCTGTGGGGGTCTGTGGCCATTGCTCTGTGCTATCAGGCCCCTGCGCGGTCTGCTCTGGGCTTTGCTTGTCCTCTCCAGCCCTGTCTCCTTTGGCACATACTGATGGTTGGTTTGCCCCCAGGGCCTGGCTCTGCAGTGCCAGTAGTGCTGGGGGAAGGAGGATGGATGGTGAAGGAGAGCTCGCCTGGGAGGAAGCCGCAGCTGCTGAGCCATTTGCTGCCCTGTCCCCCGGGGCAAGGAGAGTGGCTAGAGTCCCCCATGGCACAGAGAGCGGTGCAGGTGCTAGGACTGGTTGCTGAACCTCGTCCACTCCAGAGGGAACATCAGGCCCTGGGAAATCCCAGACAGACCCGTTGTCCAACCCCTGACAGCAGCAGGCATCACACCTGAACCTGCCCCAGGGCAAGCAGGGGGTGCAGCCAGCACCTAGCCCTGCTGAAGAAGGTCAGAAAACCCCTGATACCGGTAGCAGCAGGAGGGGGAACATATCCCTTCCCAGTGGTGCCCAGCAAAGCCCAGATGCCTGGGAAACACCAGACACCCTCCGCTCTGCTGCCTGGACTCCCTCCATCACACCCCGCACTGGGCACCCAGACACCCCGTTTTGCATCCCCGCCATACACTTGTGGCAGCTGCTTGAATCTTCATTCATCACTAAGCAGGCAGTCACGTCCCCCCGGAGCAATACTGATCTCTTCATCCCGCCCAGCCCAGGCTGGAGCCCAGACGCCAGCTCCCACAGCCAGCAGGGCATGCCCAGCTCTGTGCGTGCCCAGCTCCGGTGCTGCATCACCGATAGCATTTCCCCCAGGTGCATTATAGCTGGAAGCCGGCTGAGGACCCGGCCTTTTCCTGGCCCCTGGCAGCTGCCGAGGACCAGGGCTTGCAAGGAAGCCAGCCCCTCTCCTCTCCCCAGACTGTCCTAAGCGACTCAGTTTCTCTGAGCCTGCTGCAAGCTGAAACATTCCCCGCTGCCCTTTCCATGCTGCTATTTATAGGGCCGCGGTAAAGGTGAGCAGCCTGGGATGCAGGCATCGCTGCCAGAGCTGGAGGTGAGGAGATGTCAGCTGCGGAGGCGGTGGCTAGAAACACTGATGCAGCAGCTGCTCCTGGTCATCCTTGGGTAGCGGGGCTGGAGCACGGACGGCCAAGTCTGCAGCCACAGAATCGTGGAGGGGCAGGGGGAACCCGAGGCAGGGTCATCCTTGTCCAAACCATCCTCCGCGAGTCCTTGTCGAACCCATTCCTGAAATGACAGTCGCCCCTGACGCAGCACCGGACTTTGCACCCAAACTGGCCGCAGGGAAAACGGGGGCTGCAATGGCCAACATCCAGCTGTTGCAAAGGTTGTTCATAGACGCTGGAGAGATCCCAGACACAGGCCGTGCAGAGGAAAGTTTGTACCAGTGTGACCACGGAGGAAATCCCTTCCTGACTCCAAATGCAGTGTCGGTCTGACCCTTAGCGCTGGGGCAAGACCCTGGTCCCAGCAGGAGCATTGGCATAGCCCAGTCCCCATCCCCAGCTGGGGCTGCAGCAGCACCCAGTGCCTCTGGGGAAGGTGAGCCACCTTGGCCCCCTGCTCCACCATGTGTAGCAACAGGATGGGAAAAAAATCCCTCCCAGCCCCATGCGGCAGCGAGAGGAGCCCAGAAACCTGGGAAACCCCCAAAGTAGCGCACGGGCACTGCTGCAGGTAGATCATCCCTGACCAGGGGCTGTACAACCTCCCCTTGAGCCCCTCCAGTGATGGAGAATCCTCCCCTCTTCCCTAGACATCAATCCCACTGCCTCCCTGAAGAAGTTTTCCTGAGATCCAACCTAAACCTGCTTTGCTGCAACTTCACGCCATTGGTTTGTGTCCTCCTCTCTGCAGTGAGAGAGAAAAGGTGTCTCCCTCTAGGGCAGCTCTCCATGTACTTGAAGACTGCTTTCATGTCCCCCGTCTTAAGCGTCTTTTCTGCAGGCTGAACATGCCCAGCTCCTTCATCCTGTCCTCTATGACTTGCCTTCCCAGCCCTTGTTCATCTTTGTCCCGCCGCTGGACCCCCTCTAGCTTCTCCACGTCCTTTTTTAAAATGCGGAGCCCAGAATGACATGCCGTATCCGGATGAGGCCTGACCAGTGCTGTGCAGAGAGGCACGGTCATCTCCCGCATCTTGCACCTCCATGCACCTCGCACCCCAGACAGGAGAGCACCTAGGTGGGACGTACAACCCGGACACCTGGGTTCTGCTCCCAGCTCTGCCACCGACTTGCCACATAACCTTGGGTGAGTCACTCGGCCTCTGCCTCTGGTCTACTCCAGAGTCAGCTCGCAGGGCTTTGCTGTGCTTGCGTTGCATCTTGCATGGTGGGGTCTTGTCCAGCCTGGCCTGGCACTGCCAGACAACAAAGCCCCTGCATTTAATCTCTCTTCTTTGGCCTCACTGGGTGGAGATGGAGCCTTATAAAGCAGCCAGGGCTGGGAAAGAGGGCTTTTTCTGGTCTGCTGCAAGAGGACGCATTGTGTGACTATGTCCAGGGCCATTGGCAGGAAAAGATGCCCCCCAGCTGCATGCAGACATTCACCCTGGGGCACTTGCAAACCATCAAGGCCCCTGCGAGCACCTCATCCCGCAGGCAAGGCTAGGAGCGTGGGCCCCGTCCCAGGGCATGGCTCATGCCTCGTGTTGAAGAGCCCCCGAGAGGACCCCCTGGCTGCCCGGTGCTAGGTAAATGCCACGCTGCCGGCGCTCCAGCTGAGCAAATGCCAGGGAGACGTCCTGTCCGAGGCCTGCTGCATCACTGTGCTCCTTTGGCTCTGGCTGTGAGTGGTGGCGTCCTCCCCCAGCCCCGTCGGGGGGCTGCTGCCAGCTCCGCGAAGGCTTACAGCAGCAAGGATGGGGAGACACGCTGGGGAGGGTAGAAGGTAAATCAGCCTCAAGCTTAGCACTGGTCTTGCCTGTCCCCACAGTCTTGGATGCATCGGTTCCCTGCCCCGTGCCTCAGTTTCCCCATGTGTGTGATGCTGCTCCAGGCAGGGCAGGATTGGGCCCCTCCTCTTGCCAGGTGCATGGACATCTTGTGGGGGGTGATCTGCTGTCCAGGCGGGGAGACAGGCACCACCTCAAGGCCGTGGGGGTAGCCAGGTGCACCCCGTACCCCCAGCTCAGCTTTGTCCCCCCTTCCTAGATCCCACAGACCCCCGAACACAGGCTCCTGTGCACCGTTCCTCATCATCACCCGCTGCCACCCCCGCGGAGCCTGCTTCCAAGCAGGTGATAATTGCCCACATGATGCCTGCCAGTAGGTTGCTGCACTTTGCAGCGGAGAGGGCACCTGGCCCTGGCAAGCTGTCTGCCCCCGTCTCCCCCGCGCAGGCAGGGTTTGTCTGCATCACGCCCAGCCCTCAGGTCGGGAAGCACAGCGCGGAGGCTACCCTGGAGGGAGAAGCAGGGGCAGCTGGTAGCGACCCTCTGTGCTAGGTGCTGTACATCTATCTCCCTAGCCCCCTGCCTGAAAGCATTCATGGTTAAACAGAGTCCAGGAGGCCTGCATGCAAGGGTCCTTGCTCTGTGCTCTACCCACTAGCCTCTGCTGCCTTGGGTGGGGCAGCGGGGCATTGCTGGATGGCTGGACGCCAGGTCCTGGGGTGGGGAGAGATGCTGGATGCATGGAGAAGGGGGCTGT